CCCCTCATCTTCAGGCAAGGCCCACTCAGAACAGCCATCTGATTAAAGTAATTTGAATTGGGTTGACTGGTCATTCTCCTGCTGTGCACCCCATTCCTTCCCCAGCCACCCAACAGCTGCAACCCCAGTTCCCATTGTAGCTCCACTTCTGAGCGTTCCTCACAAGAGCTGCAGAAGCAGTGGACACCAAATCTACCTGCTGCTTCTCTACCAAGAGGAATCACAAAATAGATTTTTAGAAATCACTTCTATCTCTTGGGCAGACTACTGCTCTGCACCAGAGGACCTTGTAGAGCGATGTCCAATTACTGAGTCTTCTTCCTGCATGCCTCCTGTGGTTTCATCACCATCCTGACAGGTTTGTGTAATTTAAACATTCTTCCCACCCAGTAAAGAACAATGTTGGTGATGTGATTCCCAAAACTGCTGGAGAGCCAATTCCAGTTCGCGTGTTTGCTGGGTCCCTTCCCCAGAGGAGAAGAGAGGAGAGGAGAGGAACCTTTCCCTCCAGGACAGTTCGTCACCTTCCTGGAGTTGTAGGTATTCTAGTAGGAAAGGCCTGGAGCCTCTCTACTCAGGAATGAATTCATTCCATGCTGTGGAAATGATGCCCTGTCTGGTAGGTAAAGTACTTGGGGGTTTACCCACCAGCTGTTTGCCAAAAATGTTGCCTGGGAAGAATTGGACTACTACCTTGTCAGGAGTCATCTTCATCTGACAGCTTGCCTCCTCCTCCAGGAGATCTGAGCGACCCCAGATGGCTCTGTGGGGACAAATGTGTGGGAAGCCATTTGCTCCTCTGGCAGAATAAGATGCTGTGGGACAATGTGCAGGCATCTCCCACAGTGTGGTTCCACCTTCTGTCCCTGCCCTGACTCAAAGTCACATACAAGGGGAAAACGAGAAAGTTTTTTGTGGAGGACTCTGAACTGCCTTCTTTGGGAAGCTCTCCTCACAAGCAGTCACCTTTCCCATGTTCCCATTGCCTTTCATCTGTTTTCTCTCCTGCGCTTCACTGTTGGTCCTACCTTGCACTTTTCTACTTTTATTTGAGCCACCAGAGTCCGGCTTTGGGCATAGATGTCATGATAGTCTTCTACTCAAGTCACCAATTCATGTACTGCCAAGAAATGTCTCAGGAAAAATTCTGGAACCTCTTTTTCAATTTATCCTAAAGTCTTGAGCATTTAGTCCTGCTGGTTTTAATTAGAAAGGTATCCAGGAATTCTTGTCATAAGCTTCCTTGGTGGAAAGATCTTAGTTAAAAAGCTCAAGCCCTATTTCTGTTTGGGGGATGGGAGGAAAATTACAAATGAGGTGGATAAATCATATGTGGAAAAAGTGATGTGTTAATGCCCATAGCAGATCTTCCCAGCACTGATATTGCTCTGTGAATTGAGCTTACTCTGTTTGGCTTTATTTTTCACCCAGGCCCCGTCCCATCCCATCCCAAGAGCAGTAACTGTGTCTACATAACAGGGTTGGCCCTTGGAGCATTCCTGGAGAGGTCAAAAGGCAACAGACTCAAAATTCTGAAGAACGTATTTATATGTGGTTCTGAAATCTTGTGTATCTGACTTATAGCCAAATCTGCTTGTCCTAATAGCCTCAGAGGAAGTCTTGTTTAATAAAAAGCTTTTTCGATTTCCTAGTCAAGTCTTTACAGTTGTCTTGGGGTGTGTGTGGCCACTTCCTCTAATGAAAGGCTCTTTCAGTTCTAAATCTCTTTGTTGGGCTGGACCCTGCTCTTCGGAATACTTGGGGACGGGTCTTTTCCTTAAAGAGAGTAAACTCATACTCCATCCACACCCTGTAGCTTTTTGCCAGGCGACAGCCAAACCTTTGTTCTCACGACACCTGGAGTGAGAGCAGCGCCTGCAGTCAGAGATGGAGGGTATGTTTTGTGGTGGGTCTGCTTACTTAACTGCCCTTCTTGGGGTGGGAAGGGAGAGGGGAAAATCGGGCTAGGCCAAGTACTCGGCTGTGGACTAGGACAAACCACAAAAAGTGGCAGTTTCAGTTCCTTTCCACAACTTTGGGGAATTTAAGGTGTTTGATTTTTTAATTCCTAGCAGCTTACCTCTATGGGGTTGTGCGAAGTCAGCTGCGCTCACCTTCTTCTTACTCCTAAGTATTCACTTAACGTCTCAGGACAACCACAGCTGTAGGCAGGTATTGGTGGGCAGGGATGAGAGTCTTGGAACCCAGATTTGGCCTCAGATTTTGGCCATTCGGGCAGGATTTTTGGTTACCAAGAGCACTAGCATGGAAACATATGGAAAAAGACTCCCACATCTTTAAAATTCTGATTCTCCTCTAGACTCCGCCTCCTTCCTCGTCTGCCAATCCATTCGTTTTCAACACGGCCAAAGGTGGTCAGTGGTTTCTTTCCACCACAGTTTGAGGATCTGACCTTTCCTTAAGTGACCCAGCAGCACCACTGTTCTCAGAGGGAATGTTAAACTTTTATGAGATTCTATCTTCAGTAAATTACTGCTTCTGGGACACTTGGAGAAAGCAGTGAAGAGTCATTGTCTATGCAAAGAACAATCAGGCTGACTCTAAAATTTACCAGATCTCAGAAAACAGGAAAACAGTATCTGGCCCCAGGACAGAATCTTACTTTAGAAACCTGGATTTGTGAGGACTTTACAATTGCAGAGAAGGGTGAGAGTCTGCACACCATACACAGCCCACCATGCGGGGCAAACTTTGGGTGGGTGTGGCTGGTGTGGCAGATGCGTACACTGGGATTTTTCAAAGGACACTACGTGAGCAGCCTCCTTGCCTCTCAGGCGAGCACCATGGCAGCTCTTTGTCAGATCTGAGTGCCGGTCTGGGCACGACTGCTCTTTCTAACCCATGATGTTACGTGTAAATAGCTTTCATTTTTCCTCTGCGTCTTAGATGAAGTCTTGTTCATGTAGCAACCAGGTAGACAGTGACCAAATAAGGCTGTAAATGTGCTGTTGTTTTCTACTGTGACGTACTTGAAGGAGAACCTTGTGCCCCCCCACTCTTCGGATCTTCCATAGTATTTTGTGTTTGGGGAGTCCTGAGGTAATTCTCTTATTTCTGTTCGCTTCCGTTTTCTCTGTTTCTTCTGGAGACCCAGGGAGGCCCACAGTGGAGATCATTTGTAAGGTCTGGGTTTCCAAAAATACCAGATGTACAGGGAATGACAGGAATCTGCCTGAAAATGGTTTCAGAACCATGTACCTTTATGCTTTGTGATTGTGAAACCTTGACTTTTGTAACCCCCCCAAAATGAAAACTGTTTAGTAAAGGGGATCTATTTTGTGTGTTTTGAAACTTAGGTGCAATGTTCCCTGGAAAAAACTAAAGAAATGTATATGCTCAATGACATTTTAAAATAAAATATTATATATATGTATATAGGACCCCTCTAGAAAAAAGTTTGTGTCATTTCTTTTAATTCGCTTTGAAGTTTCTTCATATCAGGTAATGGAATGACGGGAGTGTCATGGCCTTACGGGGAGTTACAAACTGAACAGATTTGAAAGACAATCAAAAGGGAATGGATGCCGACTCTATAAACCTACACAAGAATAGCAGTAAAGGCTATCCATTTCAACAGTGCATCTAGAAGAAACATCTTGGATATTACTACCAAGAATTGCTCCCAAGAGGTATTCTTTTTTCTTTTTCTTTTTCTTAAGGTGTAATCGATAGACAACATTACATTAGCTTTCGGGGTACAACACAGTGACTTGATATATGGATATAGTGCAAAATGATCATCACAGAAATTCTGGTTAACATCCATCACATTCATATTAACAAAAGTATTTTTTTTTTCTTGTGATAACTTTCACTCACTTAGAAACTTTCAAATATGTAACACAGTATTATTAATTACAGTCACCATGCTGTACATTACATCCACATGACTTATTTTATAACTGCAAGTTTGTATCTTTTGACCCTCAGTCACCCATT